CTGGAATTTTAAAAACTTAGGGAAAAAAAGCAGCCTAGGTGATTCTGATTCAGCTTGGCAGACGTTTAGAGCCCACAGGTCATCTCCCTCTCTGTTAGCACATGGCACTTGATGTTTTTGTTTTTGGTGAAAGGCTTTTTTCTGCTCAGGTGCCAAAGGATAACAGGGCCAGGATTATACAGGGCTCAGATTTAGACCATTTGAAATTCAGTTCCTAATACAAAACCCAGATAGCAGAGAACTCAGTTCTTGTTTGCTGTAATTATTAGCCTGATCTGAAATCACCCATCCTGAGGCAGTGTGTCACAATAGTCCGAGTGCTGATTTTGCTGAGGGCAGTTGCCGCTATCTCAACCCTTAACTATTTCAGCTCCTGTTTCACACATCAGAAGCCATTCATGTGTATGTCTGTAAGCCATTTCTTTGCTGAAATAAAAATCAATATAGTAGTACTTTAAAAAGGCCTAAATTGATATGCTGGTTTTAGGTACCATTTCAATATTTAAATACTTGAAAATCATTCTAAACCTCTTCTATCTTTTTGTCCTCAGTACCACCTGGGATTGACAGCACAGCCTGAACTTTACCTTCTCAACACCGTGGATGCCGATTCCCTTGTGTCTAGATGACCGACAACTGAAAGATATCTGAGAACCACTTTTTCTAAGCCCTTTAGTGCCAGGTGTCCTGTTAACATATCTCTGTTAGTTCAGAGGTGAGTTTTGTTCAAATGTTTTGAACAAATAACAAAGATTTCCTCATGGGAAGGGTGTTAAAAGCTGACAGCTAAAAGCGTAGGTTAGAGACCCTCATACCTCACAACAGTCGTACAAGAGCCAGAGTTAAGGCCTGTGATGGCCACACACCCCTATGGGTTTGTGTCTTGATTCCTGGGATTTAAAAAATATATATGTGTATACATATTTATGTAAACCTGAACATATCAGTTTGGGTAGAGTTTTAAGGTTATATGAAACTGATCTTTTATATTTTTTTTAAAATATTGTTCAGTCAGGTATTTGTTTTGTCTGGATCACAAGTGAGAAAGGACGGGAAATAATGCTCTTTTTCACAATGAGCTCGTCAGATTGACCGTCTCGTAAAGTGATATTTTACTGTGCCAGTCAAGTTTCACTTCAGTCTGAATTGGCCAGATTATATATGTGTCTTTGATATGTCCTGATATTAAACATATCATTTCTAAAGAAAACATTTCTTCTATTAGGTAATCATTATTTAACCCCAGTTATCAGCCTGCTTTATAATTATAATTGTCCTTGTTGTCACTTTTCTTGAATTTTTTTGTAGTCATTAAACAGAGGAGATATGATAGTGTTTGCCAAAGAATGAACTAAATATCCAGTAACAAGATCTAGAAACCATGCTTTAACCAATGATCAGTTTTCTTTCTTTTTTTTTTTTTTTTTGAGACAGAGTGTAACTATGTCGCCCTGGGTAGAGTGCCGTGGTGTCACAGCTCACAGCAACCTCAAACTCTTGGGCTTAAAGCGATTCTTTTGCCTCCGCCTCCCAAGTAGCTAGGACTACAGGTACCTGCAACAATGCTCAGCTATTTTTGTTGTTGTTGTTGTAGTTGTCATTGTTGTTTTGGCAGTCCTGGGCTGGGTTCAAACCTACCAGCCCCGGTGCATGTGGCCAGCACCCTAGCCGCTGAGCTACAGGCGCTGAGCCCAATGATCACTTTCGATGTTGCACTGTAATTCAGCCCATTCTGGCTTTCAGATTTCTTCTTCAAAAGAAGAAACTTCTTTTTATTTGACACAGAGTCTCACTCTGTCACTCTGAGTAGAATGCAGTGGGATTCATAATAATTCACAGCAACCTCTAACTTCTGAGCTCAAGCAATCCTCTTGTCTCGGCCTTCAGTAGCTGGGATTACAGGTGCCTGCCACCATACCTGGCTAGTTTTTCTATTTTTTGTAGAGTCAGAGTCTCACTCTTGCTCAGGCTGGTCTCAAACTCCTGAGTTCAAGCAATCCTCCCGCCTTGGCCTCCTGGAAAAGAAGAAACTTTGACATTTAACTTTGTGAGTCCTGAAGCAAAATGATGGAGGCCTTAATCTTTCTAATGTTTGTGTAGTTCCACAATGTCTTTTCTTCCCACTGTCCCCATTAATAGTCCAAAAACCATTTCTGGGTCCAAAGTTTATTTCTAGGGGAGGCTAATATTTATATTGTTGTTTCTCCCAGGGATTGTTAAACATTTCACTTTAAAATGCATATTTATACTGAGTAGTAGGAGATTAGCACTAGCAGACTTGGAAGATCAGTCCATATAGCACAAACCACTTGCCTACGTGTAGATGACAGATTTTTTTTGGCCCTTTATCCTAGCCAGGAATTTTTTCCCTAAAATTGTTATAATAGAAGCCAGTAGGCAAACAAATACACTCCCACACAAGAGGAAAACTCAATTAAATTCAAGTTGAGGGGAAAGGGGAGAGGGGAGGAGGAAGGGAGATTGATATGCTCTCACCTGATGGGTACAGTGTGAGGGTACGCGGCACTCCTAGGCAGGAGGCACAACTACAACCGGGACTTTACCTGACAAATGCCAACGATGTAACCTAATCGTTTGTACCCTCATGTTAATCTGAAATTTAAAAAATTTATAATAAAAAATTCCACACGAAGAAGTGGGAAGTTTTATCATAATTATCTGATTGAAGAGTCAGAATATCCGCAGCACGGAGCCCTCTTCCTCGCGTGAAGTGCAGTTGGCTAAACTGAGTGGCAGCTGTCTGCTTTCAGTGGCATATCCTCCGGGGTGATAAGCACCCCAACACATCACTCTTCATTTCCTGCTGGCCCCAAAGGTGTTGAGTGAGCAGAACTGGCAGCCTTTGTATTACTTTCAGCATCACTTTTCTCTTTCACCTTTGGAGTTAAATATATAACCTCTTAAATATATACTCTCTCTGCTTTATTTTATTTATTTACTTATTTATTTATTTATTATTTTTGTTGTTGTTGTTAGACAGAGTCTCACTATGTCGCCCTTGGTAGAGTGCTGTGACAGCTCACAGCTCACAGCTCACAGCAACCTCAAACTCTTGGGCACTTAAGCGATTCTCTTGCTTCAGCCTCCCAAGTAGCTGGGACTACAGATGCTCATCTATTGTTTTTTAGAGATGGATTCTCGCTCTTGCTCAGGCTGGTCTGGAATTCCTGAGCTCAAGGGATCCACCTGCCTCTGCCTCCCAGAGTGCTAGGATTATAGGTGTGAGCCACCACGCCTGCCTGGCAGTTTAATTTTTCAGCAGTGTCATTACAAGAGAATGTTGGGGAAAGGAAGGTTAAAAAATAAAAACATCTCATTTTGCAACTCATCAAAGGTGAGGTGGTTTGTTAATCTGAGGTTAAGTATTATGGAATTTCTGTTAACTCTAACAGAGCAAAGTTTACACGTAAGCCCCTCGGGTCACACAACTCTCACAATCAAAATTTCATAATAGGGTGGCACCTGTGGCTCAGTGGGTAGGGCACTGGCCCCATATAACGAGGGTGGCAGGTTTGAACCCAGCCCTGGCCAAACTGCAACAAAAAAATAGCTGGGCATTGTGGCAGGTGCCTATAATCCCAGCTACTTGGGAGGCTGAGGCAAGAGAATC